AAGTTGCTGTTAGAGGCTGTTACAATTCTTCTGCCTGTGTGCGTAAATACGGCTTCCGTGTCAGCTAAGAAGTGTCGTATTTTAGTTCCCACCGAGCATCCTTGTAAGGTACTCGGCTTGAGATGGAACCCCACCGACACACTTTCCGATTGTGAAGGCCCTAACTTCCCACCTTGTGTCTTGGCCCTATCCGAGGACAAGGTCCTTCTCACACGCAGAGACGTTATGAGCTTAATTGCTCAATGTTACGATCCGCTGGGATTCCAAAGTAATTTGCTACTCCGTATGCGTCTTATCTTGAGGCGTGAACTGGAGAAAGATCCGGTGTCTGATTTAGACGAGTTCATTGGTGTTGAAGCATTCAAGACACTACAGGCTACTATGATGGACTTGGCATCGGTACCATTATATGTGATTCCGATTTTAATCTAGTCCGCTGTAGCGCACATTTAATTCAGGCAGCTAAGCTGCCATGGTCCATAGTTCGTAAAGAGCTAACATCGTGCTTAGAAGTGGCTTGTTTGTATTCTGAAACCACTCGCGCGATGGCGTCTGTTAAATTGTCTGTGCCTACACCGGAACTGTACACCGATAATGAGGCCAACTACCATCGGTTGGTCAAAGCCTTCAAACTTTTCTCTCAGTCGAAGGAATACGATGTCTTTCGATCTGGCTGGAAATCATCTGCACCTGCTGCGTGGGAGTTGCGGACTCTGTTCAAGATCTCCCAGCTCTTGGTTCCGCGTGGTGGGAAGGTATTCCATCTACCTGGTAAGAGAAACCCCAGTGATTATTATTCGAGGGGTCTGACATTGAAGTGCCTCCCCCAAGACGACCCACTGTTGATAGAGGCAGTCAGCTGTGCTCGTGGCCGTCCTTCCTGTGTGGACGACAATAAATTAAGTGACGACTTACCGGCCTTACCATTATCGGTTGTTGTTGATGACGATTCTGATACCATTAAAGCATTGAAGGATTACGTCTGTCTTAAGCAGAAGGACGACCCTGAATTGAGGAGTCTTCTCTGCCCTTCTCCTAATTCGAAACCGGATAGTAGGACCCTTCGAAAGTACTCCGTGGTCATTGGTCCATCCGGCAGATCTAATGATGGTTATGTTATCAATTCTGTTACCCGTGGTCTAGTTGTACCTCGTGAGTTGAGACGAGAAGTATGTGATAGACTTCACTTGTACTTTATTCATTTGGGCGCCTATAAGATCTACAGGAGTATCAAGTCGGACTTCGATGCTGGTCCTCTCTCAGAGTACTTGAAGGCCCAAAAGCGCTGTGTCATTTGTCAAGCGCAACGGCAGTCTCGAACCGTTAATCATACTTTCGGTTCTCAGCTTACCAAAGCAGCTCAGCCCTGGGAACTCTTAGGAATCGACCTTAT